ACCAGGTGGCTGCAGGATTCTGTCTCTCTGGCCTCTTCAGACAGTGTTTCCTGCAGTTCCTAACCCTCTTCACGCAAAAAGAAAAGGAGTACTTGTGGCACCTTAGAGACTAACAACAGTATTTCCTGCAGTGCCTAACACTCCAATAATTGTTGGGTGCTGCTTCCTTGGTGGCTCAGGACCCTGCAACAATGAAGCACTGGAATGGGTTACCTAGGGAGGTGGTGGAATCTCCTTCCTTAGAGGTTTTTAAGGTCAGGCTTGACAAAGCCCTGGCTGGGATGATTTAGTTGGAGATTGGTCCTGCTTTGAGCAGGGGGTCGGACTAGATGACCTTCTGAGGTCCCTTCCAACCCTGATTTCGATGATTCTATGAACCCTGATTATAACCTGCGAATCCTTACACCTTGTTGGGCAGTGCACAAGTTTGCTCCACCCAAGGCAGGAGAATCTCTCTGGGGTGGAGTTGATTATGTTCTTCCTACTTATTATGAAAATCCTATCGGACACACTGACTGCTACAACAACAACAGGTCTGTTATCCATGAAGTAGGGTGACCAGATGTCCTGATTTTATAGGGCAGTCCCAATATTCAAGGCTTTTTCTTATATAGGTGCCTATTACCCCCCAATCCCTGTCCCGATTTTTCACACTTGGTATCTAGTCACCCTACATCGAAGATACAAATGCTGTGAGACCCAATGAATCTCTATGTTTTAGTGGATGTTGTAATCTCTTTCTGGTATACATTCCCTGAACTGAACTGTAAAGATCACTTTTTAAAAAAATCCGATTCTCTGCAATCACCTGTTTCAGATTCCAAAGTCAGAAGGGACCATTGTGGTTATCTAGTCTGACCTCCTATATCACACAGTCCCTGAAAAAATTCCTAGAGTGTAACTGTTAGAAAAACATCCAATCTTGAATTAAAACTATGCCACTGGATAAGTTGTTACAATGGTTAATTATCCTCACTGTTCAAAATGTAAATCGTATTTCCAGTCCAAATTTATCTAGTTTTAACTTCCAGCCATTGCATCATGTCATACCTTTCACTGCTAGACTGAAGGGCCCATTATCCAATATTTTCTCCCTATTTGGATACTGATAGACATGAACCACATCACCCCTTAAATGAAATAGATTGAATAAAAAGGTTAACTCTTTGTGTCTATCACAATAAGTCACATTTTCTAATCTTTTAACTATTCTTGTGGCTCCTCTCGGAACCTTCTCCAATTTATCAACCCCCTTCTTGAACTGTGGGCATCAGAACTGGGAACAATATTCCAGCAGCAGTCACACCAGTGCCAAACACGGAGATAAAATAACCTCTCTACTCCTACATGAGATTCCCCAGTTTATGCATCCCAGGATTAAATTAGCCCTTTTGGCTGCACTATTGCACTGGGAGCTCAGGTTCAGCTGCCTATGCACTACCATCTGCAAATCTTTTTCAGACTCACTGCTTCCCAGGATAGAATTCCCCCATCCTGTAAGTAGGGTCTACTTCCTTTGTAGATATACACATTTACTACATTAAAATGCATATTGTTTGCTTACATCCCACTAACCACTCACTTCAGATTGCTCTGTACCTATCTTCTGCATTATTTACCACTGTTCGAATTTTTAAGTCATCTGTTAATTTTATCTGGGATAATGTTATGTTTTCTTCCAGACCTTGATAAAAATAGTAAATAGCATAGGGCCAGGAACACATCGCAGCAGGGCCCCACCAGAAACACACTGGCTCAGTGATGATTCCCTGTTTACAATTATATTTTGAGACCTATCAGTTAGCCAGTTTTAAATCTATTTAAAGTGTGCCATGTTAATTTTATATCATGCTACTTTTTAAATCAAAATATTGTGCAGTACCCAAGTCAAATGCCTTAAAGAGGTCTAAATATATTATATCAACACTATTAACTTTTATCAGCCAAACTGGTTATCTAATTTAAAAAAAAGGAAATCAACTTAATTTGAGAGGATCTATTTTCCAAAATCCCATATTGATTGGCATTAATTACTACCCCTTTATTCAACAGGGTCCATATCAGCCACTCCATTATCTTGCCTGGGATCTATGTGAGACTGACAGGTCTATAATTATCTGGTCACTCTGTTTACCCTTTTAAAATACTGGCACAAAATTAGCTGTTGTAATAGCAGAGAATATATAGCAGAGCTAGATCTCTGTCAACAGATGAAATAGAGTGAGATGTAGATGGGTTATCTGGAATTACTGAACAGGTATTATATAAAATCTGGATCATTGAATCATGCCTGTGTATGGTTTAGAATTCCCAATAGGCTCCAATATGAACTGGAGTTCCATCTCAGTGATACCACTTGTATTACATTATGGCCATCTTCATATTTGTGCACATTCTTCTGAGATAAAACCTTATATCTGATAGTATTCATTCTCAGCTCAGGCCTATAATTGACTTCCCAGGCATCATATGTCTGTGTCTGTCCTAAATCCAACATATTCCAGGAAATGTATAACTTTGTGTGTTTGCTTCAGCTTTCTCTGTACAGAACCCTGATCAGAAAAATTGTTCAGAAAGAGGTAAGTAAATTTCCTTCTTCCCTGTGTTGAGTACTTTAAATATATTGTAAATATTTGATTATCTAATGCTGATAATCTGGCCTTCCCGCCCTAAGAAGGAACAATTCTATTTGTGGGGAGGGGCATACATACATGCATGCCTAGAAGAATCAGTATGTTTATGGCCTATTCTTTTCTGCATTGATCCACCATGCTGCACTCTTCTCATGAGACAGGGAACCAGGTGCTGAGGATCAGTTGCCCTGCTGCATTCCAGGGAGGGGAGCAGAGGAAACAGGGCTGATTTTATTATTCAGTTATTTATGGGAGCTTGTCCCCATAATCCTGCTTTTGATGGCGAAATGAAATTGGGTTCCAAGATTGTAATCCACTTGAAATATTTTCAGAGCCATTTCCCTGTCCTAAAAGAGGCTGGAACTACTTATGTCCCTCTCCCAAATAGGCCCTTTCTGGGTCCCAAATAGGGGTCTGGGATTCTGGGTCTCAAGTCCCCAGAATCACAACCCTCTGTTGTATGGGATCCACATGAGCCAGATAGGTCTTGTTCTCTCCTGGATGCCTAATCCTGGTATATCAGTAGGGGGCTGAGGGGTGATTACAGAGGTCACAGCAAGGGGAGGGAGCTGGACATGAAGGCTCCTTACTGCCATTTGCAGCGTCCATACTGTGCCCAGTGCCCTCCATCCACAACTCATGGGGAAGCAGATGGGGAGGAGGTGGCTGTGCTCCACAGTGTGAAGCATGGCCAGGGCCCACGTGCAACCACATCTGGGGTGCTGGCACTTTGACTTCACTCCCATGGCAGAGATTGGGGAACTACTTGCTCTGGAGTCTGTTCTTTTCCAATCCTGCCTGCCTCCTTTCCTGCCAGGGGGAAGGGTATCAAGGTAACCCCTCCTGGACTGAGTTGGGAGGGAGACTGCATCTACCCACAGAACTGGCCCAATATTTCAACAAGACGCTCATGGGGAGGGGCCACAGTCCACACCTTTTGCCTCTTACCTCTTTCAGCCTAGCTCTCTCCCTGAAGCCTTCAGAGCACCAGTGACTGCCCATGCCTCAGAAGAGGAAGCAGAGCTGAGGATACAATTCCTCAAATGGCAAATTATTGAGAATTGTTTATCTAAGAATTTGAAATGGAGTTTGGAATTTCCCTATGAAAAGCTCAGCAGCTGGGAGGGCTGCAACCACTGAGGATGCAGAAAAAAAACTGCAGGGAACTTTAGGAGGTGGTGTATTAACTTGCTACCAGCGAACGTTGGGTTTGAGTCTGCCCCCAAGCTGCAAGCAGTCTGTAATGCATCCAGAGGAGTTGGATTTGGGAGCTATAATCCCAGTCTATCCCATGGGTTTTGCCCTGGCATCAGAATCTAAGATACAGAGAAAGTCTGAATCTCACAAATCCCATTCTGACAGGTTTCAGAGTAACAGCCGTGTTACTCTGTATTTGCAAAAAGAAAAGGAGTACTTGTGGCACCTTAGAAAGCTTATGCTCAAATAAATTGGTTAGTCTCTAAGGTGCCACAAGTACTCCTTTTCTTTTTACAAATCCCATTGGCTCTGCCCATCAAATCAATGGTTTCCAGAGCCATCTACCACTCCCAAAACAGAGAATAAGCAGAACTCTGTGAGCCATGCCCCTATAAGAGATCCATGCATGGACAGATCCATTCTAATAGTTCAGAAGTAAAATTCCGGCTCTGCCAAACTCAGTGGCAATACTCCAAGTGGCTTCAGTGGGGTCTGGATTTCACTCTGGCAATCCAAGAGACCTGCACTGTGCCCTTTGGCTTAACTAGAAGTCACATATACCTGTGATCATCCAGCAGGAAGGCGTTTCCCAGCAGATTCTAAAAAATATGATGGTTAATGTCTTTGTAGAACTTCACTGGTGTTTGCCTATAGACACACAGCACTATAAGGCAAGGCGTTTCTGCACAGAATCATCCTGCAGAGCAATCTTCTGCTGCTCAATTATATTCATGATAATATTTCTAGAAATAAAGAAGCTGTAGCTAGATGGAAGAATATTGGAGTGATGGAAAACCTGGCAGGCCAAAAGGTACATAGAGTGAGATTTGGATACAGGAATGAATATGGATATAGATACAGGAACATAAACCTTTAACTAAAATTGCATCAGCTCTCAAACCATGGCCTATGGAAATTTGGCTAGTCACATAAGGCCAGCGACTCACCTTTACACCCAGAAGCTTCTAAAGGTCTCCAGGCTCTTCAACATAAAGAACTTGGAAACCTATAGAAGCAACTGAAAAGAAAACTTAACTGCCCCCATTAGGAGTGGCAAGGTGGGTGAGGTAATATCTTTTATTGGACCACTTCAGTTGGTGAAAGACAAGCTTTTGAGCCACTATAATTGGGGCAGCATATAAGGACAATGTAAAAGCATATGGTTCTTACCAGTCAAAACTCTGACTTCTGCTTCATTTCCAGTTCTTGAACTAGCAGGATTTTTTCCAAGGCATCTATAGATCCCACTGTCTCCTGCTTGGATTCTGCTAATCTGTAAAGCTCCAGAGGGCAAGACAGCCACTCGGGTGTCACTCGGGCTCAGGATCAGGTCTTCCAGGTTTTTTTGCCAGTGTACCATCGGCATAGGCTCTCCAACTACTTCACACTTTAACAAAATTGTGTCTCCTGCAAAAGCTGTGACAGATTCTGTCTGGGAAAGAAACCTCAATGGTCCTGCAAGCACAAGGAAAAGAAGCAATTATATAGTCACTGAAAATATAAATTGCGTGCTGTTTCTATGTTGATCTGGATTTGGTTAATCATGCAATCTGAAGAATAAGTGATGTTCAGACAAGTACTTTGAGGCTTCCGTGGCTGCTGAATGACTATCAGTGTGCCACTAATGAGTGTAATTTAAAGAAGAAAATAATAGATGTGTTTATTGACATAAGAAGAGTACCAAATAGCAACCCGTTGCTTACAAACAACTTCAGGAATAACTTTTATCAAAGTACAAACACCATGTTATGCAATACAAACTATTCAGAACAGGATGAAATTCAAAGAACGATGTACTGAAATTAGGTAGGGTTAAGAAACTTTTGTTATTTTTCACAACTTTCCACCTAATGGAATCTTTCTTCCATGCTGCACATCAAACTGTACGACTGACATACCCTCTGAAAGGGTACTATTTGTTGTGTTGAAACAAGGGACGTATATGTGCATGTTATTGCGGGGGGAGGGAGCAACGCCTATATTTAGGCTGCCTACCACTCTTCATTATGAAGGATTCTTGCAGCCTATTTTTGGAGAAGTTCTAACACAGCTGTTGTTTGCAGCAGGTCTTCAAAATTCAATAGGGCCCAAGGCTTTGAGCTAGTCTGTTAAAAAAATCACCACTTCCCCCAAGGAATGCAAATGAACGATTTAAGTATCTTTCAAAGCAATAGTGGCAGCAGCACTGGGAACATATGGGCGCTATCAGAGGTGAACCCGCTCCCTAGACCCGACACATGGCACCAGTAGCTCATTCCACCCCTTCTGGGACAACCACAGTCTCTTGGTAGCAACTAATGTAGTTAGTCCTATATCTGAATTGGTAGCACTCTCTGACTCAGAGTTCAAATTCTGCTGATGTATGATGACAGGGTTACTACAGGGGTAGATACTAGAAATTGTTTGTATCTTTTCCTTAAAAAGAAATTACCTACAAAAATGCACGTTTACCAACCAAAACACCCCCCACCCAATGCCTAATCTGGCATTAGGAAATGGCAGATTTATGGTTGCCAATGCAACATTAATTCTGCCCCCTCATGCATATGAGCATGATACTGTCTTTAATGATATGATCAAACTATTCCCACCCACCCCAAGTACACCAGCCTTATTCCAAGCATGGGATACCAAAACTAAAAAGCCAGATCTGTGAAAAGTCAAGTAGGTGGAAGCTGCAAGAATTGGACCTGGCCTGAGTGATTCAAAGATAATGCCCAGATTATAGGCCTCTATGGTGATGTTATCAATGGCAACAGAAAACTGAGGGAGAAGGGGAGAGGGAATGCTCAGTTGCCAAATGATGACGAGATGTCATGAGAGAAACAAGCTGAAGTTAGGGTTTGGATAGAGGGAGACAGGTCTTTAGCAGAGAGTTAGATCTGTGAACCATCAGTATAAAGATGCTATTTGAAGCCACCCTCATGGATAAGATCATTTAGAAATAGGAGGTAGAGAGAGAAGAGCAGGTGGACAAGCACAGAGCTTCTTGGAGAAGCCTATTGACAAAAGGAGGGAGTGAAGAAAAAAACCCATCAAAAGAGATTTTGAAAGCAAATTGGAGGGGTAGGAGATGACCAGTAAGAGGCAAGAGCCTCAAAAGTCAACAGAGTACAGTACTTCAAAAAGTAGGGGAATGGTCGCTGGTGTCCGAGGCCACCAAGAGTTCAAGGAGAAAGAAAATAAAGGCCCTGGCATTTTGACCAGTAAGAAGTCACTCAAAAGTTCACTGAGTGGGTAGGGCAGAAACTAGTATGGTCTAATAGATGTATTGTTAGAGTTGGATTCAGGAAACCTGGGTTCAATTCCTGTCTCAACCACATTTCCTGTGTGATTGGGGTCAAGTCACGTAATCTACCCATTGTCTCAGTTCACCACCTGAGATATTTCACATGAAGAGGGAGGGCAGGGGTGTGAGGATGAGATCCATTAATGATTGTAAGCTGATCAGATATTATGGTAGCAAGAACTACATATTATTATTATTTATACTTCCATAGTGCCTAGGAACCCCAGTCATGGTCTAGGATCCCATTGTTCTAGGTGCTGTACAAACACACATATAATATACACACATTTAGCTAAATAGTCAAGGATGGAGTTGGAGGAGAGGAACACATGCATCCTTTAACTCAATAATGAATTTTAATGACAGTAACTGCAACCTGTGAAAAGGTTCCTGCATGTTAAAAAAAAGTCATACTGCATATTGTCCAACATGTTTAGTACTTTGTAATCATAATGATCACAGTTAATACATATTTCAAGAGTACTTTGCTCTGAAAAGAGAAAGAACAACTAAACTCTACATGGTAGTTTGGAATTCCACACCACAGGTGAACAGCCATCAGCTGCACCCTTCCATAGTCTACAGAAAGATCAAAAATGCTACATTTCAAATTAAGCTGTTGGCACAGACACAGGATGTAACAGCTTTTCACACACAACAAAGCTGAAATGAACTAGAAAAGCAGAAGCACTGAACGCTTTCCATTTTAGCTTTGCTTTAAATAAAAAATTAAAAAGTTAAAAGCAACATGAGTGTGGACGGAAAGCTTTTAAAAGCCACTGCTACATCCATGTCAGCAGAAAAGAAGGTTCATGAAAGTTTAAGAGAGCAAAACAAACAAACAAACAAAACCTGTCCATCAAGATAGCATATGACCAAGGCTTTTGTCACAAACAGCTGGCTGTCCTCAAGAGTCCATGCAATAATCCCAAGAGTCTCCATTTTAGGCAAATAAAATAAATAAAATAACTGCAGGACCAAGGCTGATTCTCACTTCGACCTGGCCACCCTAAGTAGTGACTCCAGAACTCCTTAAGAATGTTAGGCATAATACAAACAACCATCACCCTCCATACGTCACAGATTCATTTATTGTAGGAAAGGAGGAACATGCTTCACTTCACCTGGAACCCCTGTGGCACATGCACCTTTCACCAGACACCACACAAACCCCTTCGTGAGTTCTGTGTGGGAATCCAGACCCAGAAGTTTGGGGTGGGGTTAGAGAGAGAGGAGGGTCGGAGGTCTTCCTTCCAAGCCCATACGCAAAGCAGTGCAAGTGACTGCAGACTTTCCACTCCTGCTGTGGAAAAAGTCCTTCTAAACAAGGGTGTACTGGGGACAGTGGTGGTGGTGGTAGCTGAGAGAGATATGCCTATTTCAGTGGTGAATTTGGCTCTTGTCAAGGTTCCTTCCCCACTCTGAACTCTAGGGTACAGATGTGGGGACCTGCATGAAAACCCCCTAAGCTTATTTTTACCAGCTTAGGTTAAAACTTCCCCAAGGTACAAACTATTTTACCTTTTGCCCTTGGAATTTATTGCTCCCACCACCAAGAGTCTCACAAATATATAACCAGGAAAGAGCCCGCTTGGAAACGTCTTTCCCCCCAAAATCCTCCCAAGCTCGACACCGCCTTTCCTGGGAAAGGCTTGATAAAAATCCTCACCAATTTGCATAGGTGAATACAGACCCAAACCCTTGGATCTTAAGAACAATGAAAAAAATCAGGTTCTTAAAAGAAGAATTTTAATTGAAGAAAAAGTAAAATCAGGATGGTAAATACCTTACAGGGTAATCAGATTCAAAACATAGAGAATCCCTCTAGGCAAAACCTTAAGTTACAAAAAGACACAAAAACAGGAATATACATTTCATTCAGCACAGCTTATTTTATCAGCCATTTAAACAAAACAGAATCTAACGCATATCTAGCTAGATTACTTACTAAGTTCTAAGACTCCATTCCTTCTCTGATCCCAGCAAAAGCATCACACAGACAGAGAGAACCTTTGTCTCTCCCCCACCCTCCAGTTTTGAAAGTATCTTGTCTCCTCATTGGTCATTTTGGTCAGATGCCAGAGAGGTTATCCTAGCTTCTTAACCCTTTACAGGTGAAAGGGTTTTTCCTCTGGCCAGGAGGGATTTAAAGGTGTTTACCCTTCCCTTTATATTTATGACAGCTCTACTGTATATAACACACACATTGTTTCAACTCATGGAAAAGATGGAGAAAGACACTATAGTTAGGATTTTCAAGAGTGCCTAAGTGATTTAAAAGCACAAGACTTTGTGACCCCCAATGGGACTTGTGCTCCTAAGCTACATAGGTGCTTTTGAAATTCTACCCTGTAGATGGCTACAGATTGGTGCAGTGTGGTATAAGGATTTTATCAGTCACAGATTGGATGGCCATGTTACGTTTGCGAGGCAAAGTCACTAGTTATGCACTCGGCCCAAAGCACCACCACTTGACACCACCATACATTCTATATATACCACTTGTGTTACAGAAAAGACATTTTAGGCATGTTTTAGAGAGTTTTAAAACATTATTTGGACTTTTCATTTTTTCTAAGGTCAGGTACCTTCATTCTCAGCCCAAGCATTCAGAACACAGAGAGAGCCATAAAAAAAAAGTTTCAAAATAACCTACCATAGGCTTTTTGTATATATATAAAATGTCACGGTTTTAAATTCTGATCTCCTGGGTCCTTGCAGGGCTAGAAGCATGTGCTGTTCCACTGGAAAGCAGGGACCTTCTCTTTTCCAGTGGTTATGTACAATGCTCCTGTTTATAGGTCTCCGGGATCCCACTATAGCACACCCCAATGCTGTCACTGGTCCAGGACTACATATTGCCTGGCAAAGGCCTCAAGTCTGTACAGTTTTTATGGTGAAATTCAACAACATTATTAGGCTTTTTTTTTAATTATTATTAAGATAGTTCTTTTGAAGCTGCTCAGAAGCCTGGAATGTTGTATGCTGGTTCGGGGAGAGGACTAATGAGTAGATACTGAGACAGTCAAAACATTTATCACATGGTCAGCAACTTATCACAATGTTTTCCCCGCACCTAAAGTATTTTAAATATTAGTAGCCCCAGACACAATCCTCATTACAGTACTGACATCTGGTTCAAATGCTTTAGTCTGGCGTTGATTCC